AGGGAGATTTCTCCCCCAAACTTTTGAGACTTAACCCCTAAGAATTTTTAAAGCGTTGCCTTCGATGGCACTGAACTTCCTACAGGTATCAATTGGAATCAATTTGTCGCATCGGCTTAAGCCCAACAAGGAGGCTGATTATCACAAAACACCTGAAACCAATCCGACTGATTGTGGAAATTAAGCCGACGCCGAATCAAATGTTCGAAATCTATATGGTTACACAACGTCCGATGATGACTAATTTGATGATGTTTAAGTTATTACTAGAATTGCGTGTATACTAAACATTAATTTTTTGTGATTTTATTACAATTAACTACTCCTAGAGGGATGAATCGTCTAAATAAATGTTTTTAAACCGCGAGCATTTTGCTCGATTTTTTCCAAATAATTACAGTTTTTCTTACACTATCTGCCGTTAATTTTTTAATTAATTTTTAAAGATGTTATCATTGTAGGACTTTTTTCAATTTCGAAGTGTCATATTTTGTATCACTTTCTTCGTTTGTTCAATTACTTTCTAATATTAATTATGCGCCAGTGATTTTATCTATTAACTGTGCCACTATTGCTTTCTTTTCCTCGTTTTTTTTGTCACTACTCCCAGTTGGGAAGCTCAAAAGTCATGTGTTTATTTATATTAGCAATGCAAAAAAAGAAAAATAATAATAATAAAATAAATATAAACACTGCCTTTTTCAATTAATTAATCTTTTTTATGCAAGGTTTGGTTGAAATAAAAAAGCTAGTGTCACGAGCGGGATTCGAACCCACGACCTTCGGCTGAATACGCCGCTGCTCTAACCACTTGAGCTATCGTGATTTCGATCTATTCGGACACCAACTCCCCATCTCAACCTACAACCTATCGAATTTTCCCACCTTTTTGCCATTTTTCAACTAAAACCTTACATAAAAAAGATTAATTAATTGAAAGAAGTAATTTGGTCAGTAGACCACTAAATATGATGGATTTAATAAGACATATTTCTTGAAATTGACGTTAAGGTGCGTCGTTAAGGTTATAAACAGGGAAATGCAAGATGCCGACATGTTTAATATTTGTTCAGTCCGCCTGCGTCAAACGCTGTATGATGTCGTTTACTTTAATCCGTTTGTTAAAAAGATCAAAATTTTCTCGTAAGACGTGTTAAGTATTAAGTTCAGAAATAATAAAGAACAATTTTAATGTGCAAAGAACTACTTCGTTTACAAAACGGAAAAATCTCTGGCCTGTGCTTACGGATGAATAAACTGCTTTTCATTACTTATGCAATTATTTATTGTATACTGCTATTTGGATTTTGGGGAGAGACGACGAAATAATCATGCTATTTGGCTAGGCGTTCTAACAGACACCAACCCTTCTAAGAAAGCGGCAAATGCTTACACTCTTGAGTAATCTGCTTCATTGGCAAATGAAAGACATGATGTAGGTCATGCTTATTTACATTTTATATTTATTATTATTTTGTAATGTCTGCAATTTTGCCATTTATCTTTAATTTTAGTGGGTTTTTTCATTTTTATTTTTAAATCACCCTCCCTTCTATTTTCAACTTCTTTATGCAGTTAGACGTCGTTAAAACAAAAGTTTTAAATGCTAAAGGTTTATGTAAATAATGAAAGAAGATTTACCTAGGAATAAAATTAGATTTGACAAAATACGTAATTTATAATCATTAAACATATTAACATCATAATCATCACAATATGCCTCCCGACTATTTTAAATTGAAGTGCGAAAGACAGCTGCGCTTTTTAACCTTCAACTAATGTCTAGGACTATTGACGTTTTTACTTTATTTTCTCTCCTGGCTGACCAATTAGTGTAAATTTATGTGTCGAAGAATTATCCTTCATTTCTTATCTTTTTTATTGTTTATGTTTTGGTTTCTATAATTTATTTTGTCCTGCTGTTTTAATCTTTATACAACGTCAATAGGGTTTTCGCGTTTTTTTAATGTTTGTTATGCCTTTTTTTTATTTCTAAAAATAAAAAACTCTCACTCAGTTTAATCAGTACATGATAATTTGTCGCCAATCACCCCCTTTTATCTTTGTTATTTTATCGTTACTGTCATTAAATCAGAACGAATTTAAATACAGATAAATTCATTTTTTATTGGCGCTTTTCCTAGAAATGAATTGTTTCGTCCCTTTTTCCTCCCATATTTTTCCCCTTATCGAAACCGGCGTTTATATTCGCCTTCCAGGCGCGGCCTTACCTTCTCCCTCTTTCAGATTATCTGTTCACAGTCGGCTGCGCCTACAACTGAAATCGTTACACCCTTATCTTTGGGCATAATAACTCCAGCATTAGCCGGTTTAATTTTCTGGCGGAGGGCCTAATAAATAAATCCGTGCATATTTATTTTTCTGCGGTGCCAACGGTAAAGAGGTGATTTATAAACGGGTACCGAAGAGTCCAGCTCAATACCAAACGTACACTTTTATAGCAACACGTTGAGAATAATAAAATATAAATTGCCTCCAATAAATTGTTTTATCAGATCGAACGTCCTGTTATGTACGTCGTAACCTGTTGATAATCATCATAATATCGGCTTTCTTTACCATCAGTGCCTGCGCGTTTTCTTTCGCGTTCGTCCTTTTTTCGGTAAGCCCTGGCGAAAGTCAAACGTGTGAGTGGGGAGGTCTTTGTTCAGTCCGCGTCCTTCAGGTCATGCGTGAAATCTTTTAAACAGTTAACTTATAATAATAATTACTACTATTAAGTCGTTAACCTTACAAACGGAATCTATTACTCAATTTTGTTTATTTCTTACTTTATTTACAATGTTCTCTTAAGGAAATTGAATGGAGATAAATACTATAACCACTAATTTATTTGGTAACGGATAATCCTTGCAGAGGGCTTATATATTGCAATACAACAACTGTTCCTACCTCGCTCTTAGCCCTGTCTTATTTTTTAAAGAAAGGTCATAGACTACTATAAAATTGAATTTAATTATTCCTTTACTCTCTTTTTTAGGGAGTAATTTTTACATATGGTCAACAGTTGTGTTTAGCAACAATACAATAGTGTTCATATTGTGAAAAAATTTAATTCACAAAAAATAAATACATAACACGTCCCCAATTGTTTGTGTTACGTTATTATGCGTCTGTAAGGATGTACTTATCGAACAGCAGTTGTTAATTCTAGATGTAAATCACGGAATCTGCCTTCCAATTAACGAGCTTGTATAAACATGCCAAGCTTTAGGTGTATATATTTTGCGTTCCTCAGGGTATTACAATTGGTAAACAACCTTTTTTTTAAATGATTATTTGGAAGTCGTGAGATGCGGTCTGGTGTGACGTAGGTTTTAGAAAACCTTTTTCTTTATCGTACCAACGTTTCGATCTTTATTGAGATCATCTTCAGGGTCTGGGATTTATAAACATTGTTTCAATTTTACAAATACATGTAGGATGTGGAAAAAATGAATTTATACAATGCTAGAAATTTTTAATTCAACCAAAGTATTTTTACTCACTCAAAAAGTTTGTTTTCTGTGTAGATGTGTCATCCTTGTATGTCGTGTTGAGGGTCCCATATTGTGTAAAGCAATGATTGCAAAAAACCCAAACAAAATCCTACAACACTGGTTACCCAGCATTCTGAACACCAACAGAATTTCGACTTCAACAATCCAAAAATATTACACATGGAACAAAACAAACATAAACGTAACTTTTTAGAAATGGTTTACATAAACAGGGATCAATTACAGAACAGACACATTAAACTCAGTGCAGCTACACTAATATCATTAATCAAATTCAATATCAATAGCATACATATATCATCATCACATCACAGAAAACATATAATGTAACACATAAAACATTCATCACATTCCATACATCAAACATTTCTACATAGTCTAATTCTTCAACAATTTGGCTTTCCTTTCCCTGATTATCCCCGTCTATATAATCATGGAAGGATACCAGGCCGAACCATTACCAATTTTTTCCCATTGTCGGCTCCTTTCACCTCAAAGAAGCCGTCTCCTCATATAAAAATGTCTTTCTATCCCGATTTCCTTCCCCATCCCTTCAAAATCCAACGTATATAAATATAAAACATGAATATCTTACTGGCACCCTCAACACGACACACAAGAATGACACATCTACACAGAAAACAAACACTTTGAGTGAGTACAAATACTTTGATTGAATTTAAAATTTCTAGCATTGTATAAATTCATTTTTTTCCCACATCCTATATTTGTAAAATTTAAACAATGTTTATAAATGCCAGGCTCTGAAGATGAGCTCAATAAAGATCCAAACGTTGACACGTCACACCAGACCGCATCACACGATCTCCAAATAATCATTGGCTAACGGTCACTAAACACCACACATTTTTTCATCATTAATATACCACGGACTCCAATAAAAATAGCAAAACGTAAGTACAATTTATGAAACAAATTTAAAAATATCTGAAAACTCGAGTTCACATAGACTCGCCCATAAAAGTCCTTAGTTGTGAAAAGTATGTATTATTATACAAGTATAGTAAATTTTATTAAAATTATATAACAATTATTTATAAAAACGTTTAGAAACAATTATTAAAAAACATCCCTTTATTAACCTAAAACAATAATAAGGTGCAGAATGAAGGCGGATACTCGTATGTAATATATAAGTTCTGGAAAGTCATTGTATGCATCGTGCATAATCTTTATAATTTCCTTGGCGTTCAATTGTAACAGGAAATTCGTGATATTTAGCTAATTTCCTGGTTGGCTTTCGCGAGGAATTAAAGCCCATTTCTTTTTGAAATCACAGCCGTGTTTAATCTTAGGAACGAATTAGCCGGTGGGGTAGGAACGGATTCTAGAGGAAACTTCGGGTCTTTGACCCTCCGACAGAACGTGGTCTGTCCCCGTGTTTACACCCTGTGACCTTAATAATGTATCGTGATTGGTGTTTTCTCGCAAATATTGAACCCCTTTTTTTTGTTTCAGGAAAGGGAACCGTATCCGCCACGCCGTTCAACAAGAGAAGGTATTTTTTTTATTTCACTCTCGATTTAGGCTAAGAGGTGGAGCATTCGACTCTGTAATTGCAGCGAAAGCTCGTTTTATTCACCACGTTGTTGTGCGTATTCAGCGAAACGTTGACAGAAAATGAGGCCAGCCGTACGCTTCTTGAATTATTACCGGTCATCAATAAAGATCGGATGTGAGCGTTGCTTGAAATTAAAGACAAAAGTGGATCGTCGACTAACAAAAATATCTAAAATTAAATTTTCATATCGCCCTTTTCAAGTTTATCTCACGTGAAAAAAATGGGTTACGGGAAAAATTTTAATGACCTCAATTTTTTTAATTCCATTTATTAAAAAATATTATGGTATTCAACATACCGCATATGTCGGCTAATATAATAATGACTAATGTTAACCTTTATGCACAATATACGTTATTGGCATATTTGTCTAAGAATAAATTATCCTAAACGATAACGATATCTAACTGAACTTCATAAACATGTAATAGAAATCGATTTTTTTAATTTCTAACCAAACGACATACTTTCGTTTTCTTATAATAAGATTATTATTCGCTGTGTACATTGACCTACTTTCGACGAGACCGGGCGGATCCCAATATTAATAACAATGGATATAGACATTTTGTAAACACTCTTGAAAACAATCTTCTCAATTGCATCCCGTTTGTTTTCAAAGTATAACACGACAATAGATTAGACATTTTTACATTGTTTGACCATTTTTTATTGTTTCACTTGTAAGGTATGTTTTTTAATATGTACACTGTTTTAACAAATTCAGTCGGTAACTATTCGGAGATCGTGAGATGCGGACTGGTGTATGTGTCGCGATCTCCGAATAATCATCGACTAACGGTCACTAATCAATCGATAACATTGTATTTGTGAAAAATCAACTTCAAAACAGGCTGAATGGACCTAATGAAAATTATCCATCTACAATTGAAAATAAGCGTGGAAATAAAAGAGAATATGACCAGTTTTCCTATTGAAAATTTTGTTATATATTCTCTATTATTTTCGAAATTTTAATGGAATGATATATAGTTTAAATATATTTGGGATGTTATTAATATAAGTAATCAAATTTAGGCCGGAATGGAAAGGTCCCAAATAGGCCTCAAACAGTGTAATAGACGCATTAATTTATATACTTTAGTAAGTTAAGTTTTGTTGCACATAAGCAGGGTTTTTTGGCTGTTCATACAGTATTTTGAGAGGTCAGATTTAAATGCTTAGTATGTACTTTTTTTGCCAGTTTTGTATACTAACATCAAAGCATGGCATACGAAAGTTGAACAAACTCCTAGGACAAAATCTAATAAACCCTGATGTAAAAAAAAGCCATCATAAAGTCATAACATGGATAAAAGTAAATGAGATTAAATTAAAAATCATTAACGTACCCTACCTAATAAAAAAGCAGATATGTTTGGAAGAATATAATCTGTGAAACTAATCGAATATGGAGTGGGGGCAGAAATCGTAGACTTAAATTTTCACCTAGCGAAACGTCTAGGACCTGCACCATCTATTTTACACGCTGAGAACCATGCAATAGAAGTTGGTTCTCAAGAGTTGCTTTAAAAGGGATTAAAACGGGGACAAACAAATATATTCTCAGCCGGCTACGTATTGAATGCTTTAGAGCTCAAAGATGGCCAGCCAAACATGTCTGGGGAAACTATGTAGGTACCAGGGCAAGAGGGGGTTGAAGAAGGTAACAAACAAGACCAACTTGGAAAAACAGGAACAGCTCGCCTTTCGATCATAACTGCAACATCCCAGAACATCTAACTGTTAGGAAGGGGCGGAGAAAGAAATGACCAGAAAGAGGGGGAATTCATCAGATGCAAAACAATCAAAAGTTGGTTCTGAACATCTCAACCAGGAAGGCAAACATTTATCTGGCTCTTAATTACCACATTTAAATAACAATCCCCGCTTTTGTCATGAAAGAACAGAGACATCGAAACATGTCCTATGTGATTATGAAGCAGTAGCTCTGAAAACGTACAGCCTCTTCGGATATGCTATACTAACACCTAGAGGATTTAGCGAAGAAGAACCCTGGAAACTTCTCAACTATCTCAAAGGTACATACATATTCTACTGAACGGAAAGAAAGAAGGGTTAACTCCTCAATAGATCTGTTAAGTCGCAGTAGAAGACAGGGGTCTGTAGTCAGTATTTGTCACAGAAAAAGTTTTATGTTTTCATAAACAAACTCTTGACGTACTAATTATATCAAAACGAAATTTCCGTAAGATTAAAAGCGACAAGAGAGAAAGTTGAGATTCGAGAATTTGAAGCATTCTTTGTTTTTCTTCTTATCTGCCTATGATTAATAGGCGCAGTTGATTTGTACTTATTTTCAGATTTGGCTAAGCTCTATTCGTTTTAGTGCACGAAACTTAGAATCTTGTACAATTCTTCACGGCCAGCTCGAAGCAAAAAATGATACCGGATTAATTTTTCGATTATTTGATTTAATTAAAGTCCTCCTTCAAAATGTACGCTAAGCTAAATCAATTTCCGATTTTGTTTGACAATTCTCTAGACCGCCGTTGCAATGCCATGCCCGTTATACTTTTATTTATTGGTCCTCTTGAAACAACCATATCTTATTAGGTTTTGCATGCCCTAGATCCTGTTCTAGCCTTTGAAGGCCAAATTAAAAAAAAAAGAAAAAAAAAGGATTTTATCGAAATGAAGGTACCAACAAAGCATTTAAATAGAAAATATGCTTTGCAACACGATACGACGGGTAGTTTTTCTCAACTGTAGTTATCTGTGTAATCGAAGAATTATCTTTTTTTCTTGGAAAACTTCCTTTTTTTCTTGCGTCAAACGGTTGCTTATCTTCATCAATATTTTGAAGAATGTGTACTTCAGGTACTCTCGAGAACTATTCCTCCGGATTAGATTATTATGTTTCGCCTGATGAGTTTGAATATTAAGTTTACTATTCCTAAACACAACTTGAAGACGTTGAACAGTTCGATGAGTTTCCACTGAACGCACTGTACATTTTACTCGATTTTTCTACAATACCGGAAGAGTTTTTGTTCGTTTCATTTGAGAACAGCGTGACGAAATAGTTTGTTTCATGGGATAATTCTCAACACGACAGATTTAAAGTGTGTCGTTCTCTACTTGCACTAGCTACTCTGTTTCACACAATTAACCTCTAAAATTCATCAAAATCGATAACTACATATACCATATAAAACTGTTCAAAAATTGCATTGATTTAAAACGGCCAACTGTTATATCAAAGGACAGACTGCAAAACTGGCCCTAGGTACAACATTGGATCAATAATGATATGTTTCCAAGGGGCTTAATAAATTTCCAATATGTTCAGTTTATAAATAATATGGATCTGTAATAAATAACAGTTTGAGACTTATCTATATAACAAAGAAGGCAAAAGTAAAAGGCTGCCTTCTGATAGAATTATTTTCGGTCCTTTCGAAACATTTTATCCAAAGGCTATGACAAAATGAATGGTAACTCCAGGAAATCAAATTGTTTGGATAACCAGGATACACAGGGCATAGAGGCAGCGGAGAGGACGTCAAAATTGCCAAGGAATGTTCGATCTGGACACCTCAACCCCCTTTTTTTTGCGGCTTACCAAATTGGTCAAAACGTGGACGTCAGACATCTTCGGGCCCGTGAGAATTTATTCTAGGACAGAGCCATGAAAAAAGTTCATTAACGGATATGTATAGACTCGGAGCTGCAGAAACATGTGCAGATATTGTAAGGAAGAAAAGAACACAGCTGTTCATGCCCTCTGTTGGTAAGAAGATTTATGCAGGCTGAGATTCCTACCCCCGGGAGAGTAAAAGCAAAAACCTTAAAGACTCTACGGGAATCTTTAATAAGCGTTGTGATCTTACAGAAAGTTTTGAGTTTGAAGATCATAGTACAGATTTATGTAACAGTCATGCTGGTTTGCCTAATCTTCGTTAGTTTTGCCTGTCACACACTTCATCACGTCCAAGGATAGCGAGCGGAGATGTCATACAAACTCTTAACAATTATCCATTTTTCGTGTTGAAAAAAATAATCACTAATAACATTAATTGTAGGTAGCTAGTAGTAGTTCAATGTGAATAGCAGCAAGTGTAACTGATTACGACATTTCACACAATACCTCTGTAATTAGTTCTGAAGGTTTTGTTTGTAACAGTTCGTCAAAATTTAAAAAAAAATCGGGTACAAATGGCAAACAATTTCAATATTCGAAATCTTTGATGATTATTGAGGGAGCTGTTTGCAAAAAGTAGGGTACATTTATCTTCTAGCATTTCTTTTCTGATGACGAACATTAGCACTCAACTAAAAAAACATTTACAGAAATATTTGTCAAATTGTTTAATCGGTGACAGTCGAACACCCCAAAGCCGTTTCATTTACGGTTCTGGCAAATGTTAGTGATACCGAAATGTGAAATAATTGCGGTCGTTAAGGAATGCTCGGGGGTGACGCAGTGATATGTTGCGTCATCGGCGTTATGTAATCTCGTTCTCCTCGCACATCCTTGTTTTATCTTTTGGCGTACAAAAGAGCCCGGCATCACTTGAAATAGAGATATTCCATTTTCTCCCCTTAGAAGCAAGATAAAATGCCAATTTAAACCAGTAGGACGTTTATTTGTAAGTCGTTGACGAACTACTGACGGACAATAAATCAAATATTTACCAGTTTTTAAAAACTTTATTCGCATACTACAGTAGTGATAGTATACTAAATATAAAATATGACTTGAATCTTGTATGAAGACAAATCGGCGTTCCTCATTTAATGAACGTATTAACATATTTTGGTGAATAAGGATGACCGAATGGGATAGGTGGACATTCGCCATCTTCCAACAAATCAATCACTGTTTCTTGACATAGTTATATTTAGTCAACATAATTAACAATATAGCATGTCTCAATTCGACTCTCGTATTCAACTGACGCTTCAGGTTCGGT